CAAAATATGCTTGGTACATTTGCGCTTTGACTTACCGTTACTACACCCCTAAGAGCATTTGTAGCAGCAAGCGTGTTTCAAACTTTTTAATTTTTGTATTTATTACAGTTGACTTTTTATTTCCGGTCGAATGTCATACACTATGCTGCATTGCGTTTGCGTTCACAACTTGAAGTCATTTCGTGGTCTATCCTCTTCCCTTTTTGAACTTTTTTGTGTCCCCGATTCAAATTCAAATTACTAAGTCTCTCGGGGCTCAGCAAAAGAAAAATCTTGAAAAACAGAGAGACCAACAAGAAGTAAACTCACCGTTAACAACGTTATTTTTCAACGTATCAACATAAGTAAGTTCTTTAGTGAAGACGAAAATGTCTTGATTTTTTTTTTAAGTTTTGAATATGAGGTTTACGGATTGAAGATATCAGGTGTAGTTTAGAAACAATACACGTTTAATACTCATTAGAAGCTCCTGCATGGGTTACATAGCCATTAGTTCCACAACCTATTGCCCTAATAGGGAAGCTTTACCATTTGCTCTACCTGCTGTCACAAACAAGGTTCGTGGCAGAGTATAACGCAGCTTTGACTGCATCATTTATTCGTTCGTTCACAAAGAACTGAATAATCTCCAATTTTCATTCCATGAGTATATATAACATTGAAAGTTTATTTATTAAATTAACTAGTGATTTTTCTACTGAGGAAAGTGTTCCATTTTCATTAAAACGGAGATACCTTTCATGAACAAATTTGACACGTTCTTTTGACACAAAGGAATAAAATACCATTGAAGTTGTTGGTAGAGTTTTATCGTAGTACACAGATGTCTGTCTATATTCAAAATTCTTCTAAATGTTCACATGAGTTTTCTTTCCTTCTTTCTCTTTATGAAGAATTGATGAACCTTCGAGAGTATAAATGATAATAATTGTAAGTCTTTTAAGCACCGCCATCCTGTATACCATGCATGTCAAAGTCGGGCGCAAAAGAACTAGCTCACTAGAGTTCGAGGGCACTGAAACCAGAGGAACTGCCGAGAAATTTCGAAGTAGGGTTGTACAAATTTCTTTGGGGTGGCGGCACGCCACTGAATAACTGGCCCATGACTGACGATGGAAGCGCCAATGAAAGCGATATTAATTTTCATTTTATCTACTAAAGTGAAGAATTTATCAACTAAATTGAAATAATACAAGATCCAGCTTTTAAATTGTCATTTGAGAGTAAAATTTTTAAATCTAAGAACCTTCATTTTCCGTATACATACGTATATACGTAGAATAGGGTAAAGTTATGTAATACTGCGCGACAAAATGGCGGATTTTCGGGAGAGAAAAATGCATTGCCGGGTCCCAATAACAAAACAAATTGGTAAATCTAGTTGCTAAATTAAGAAAAAAAATCCTCTAACACGTGGTGTAGCCAGAGCCCCTGTTTTGGGGGCCCTTGATATTGAAAATCCAATTGACTGCAAAACATCCGACTGTCCGTCCGAGTGTCTGCGAACACCACTAGCGCCAAACCATACGTACGATTTTTTTCCAAAAGAAATATTCTCCGGACGATCTCGGATCCACTAAAAGCGCCGGAATTTGAAAAACTTTCTTCAAAATTTGAGGGTACCTTACAAGAATCCCCCCGAACATTTTCAAAATTTTCTCAAAAACGGCTTCAATTTTTTTCTTTAAATTTCTTGTAAGAAAATAAACCTATATCGGTGTCATAGGTAAATTTTCATGGTTAACTCTGAATTTTCAAAAATTGAAAAAGAATTTTTTTAGGCGTCTTACTACAACTTTACAATAGAAGATAAAGATTTTTCATTCCAGTAAAATTTGTCCTCCGTAGTGAGTTCTTTCATTGTCATGAACATTTTTTTTAAACATTTAGTAGTTTTCGCGCAATATTGGGTGGAATATGTACAATTTAAAAAAATACAAAAACAAGATTTTCTTATAAACGGTTACAATTTTTCTTCACACCTTTGGTAGTGATAGTGCTAAATGCACTCTACGCGCTAGCACTAAATGCGCACAAATTTTAGTATTTTTCGAGCAATATTGCGTGGAATGTGATATTTTAAAAAATAACATAAACAAGATTTTCTTTAAAACGACTAATTTTTCTTTAAAATTTTGATAATGATAGTGCTAAATGTATGACATACAATTGAATAATAATACGACTTTAATACTCTTAAAGTAATGCTTTGGTCCCACTATTAGTAAACAGAACATTCGAGGAAATATAAAAAAAAGTACTTTGGGCGACGATTGATGGCAGCTGGCTAAGGTATGTGGCAAGACAGAAAAGCTAGGCCATACCAAAGAAATTAGAAAAGTAACTGGTACGAAAAAGTCGTGCCATTCTGTTGTACCACTAGTTACTTTCTTACGTATGTACGGAGCAATATACGTAGTATAGAGAAAGTTATGTAATGCTGTGGAAACTCGATTTCGAGGTTTCAACGAAAATACACATTTTGGGGTCTCCTGATGCCGAAAATGTGTTGTTTTCAAAACGCCCGTCTCTCCGTCCGTCTCAACACCACTAGCGCGTAAACCTTGCTTAGATTCTTCGCCAATAGTTAGTGATTTAGTATGATGAGCTCAAAATTCCGCATTTTCACAAACACTCAAACGCCACTTTCTCAAAAATGGCTCCAAATTTTTTCTTCATACTTTTCCAGCGGATAGTGCTAACTACACTTTACTCCAAATTTATGTTATTTTAATCTTTCGTGTTTTTTGATTGTTTGTTTTTTCAGAAATTACACAAATGATTTTTTTTAATATTTCTCACGCCGTAGATATACACATTTTTAGCATTTTGTAAACACTATTAAATTTATGAGTTATTGTGCTTTAAATTACTTCTAATAAAGTTTTTTAAAATCTCAAAAACTTGCTGTGAAAAAGAGCTTCAAATTTCACATTTACACTAACGCTATTTTCTTAAAAAGACTAAATTTATCAATGAAAATTGCTATTTAGGACGAGATTTTACTCTTATTAAATATTCAAAAAAGTAATATTTCGGTTCTAATCTAAATTCTTAAAAATCAGAGTTTGTTTGAAATGTACTTTGAGCGACGATAGATGGTAACTGGCAAGAAGATAGGGCAAGACCGTAAAGTTAGTCCGCACCAAAGAAATTAGATAACTTTACTACGAGAAAGTCTGTGCCATTCTGTGTCACCAGTAGTTACTTACTAGTGCAGTCATTTGCATTAGCTTATTATGTTCAGGTTAGGAGATTTAACATAGTTTCCTGTCTATTAAAAGAGTTGTCCGCTCATAAACAAAAATCATTAATTTATAGACTTGTTAATTTGTTAATTGCGCCATACAATAAATAATTGAACGGTTTAATAAAACAACACAAATGAAAATAAAGAATTCGCTATACAAACATATTTCTATCGCTTCAAAAATGTTTATAAAAGGGAGAATTTAAAAAGATAATTAACACGAAATAAAGTACTAAGTAGTAAATACATAACTAGTATACACATAATTTATATCTCGACTGTTTAATATAAAATCAGGAAAACATCAGCTTGCACTTGTCCGCTCCTTTCGTGGTTTGGTGGAGAAATGAGATCGCAGTCAGGGGAAGTTGCCCTTGCTCGTAGGAGCGCCTCGTTTCCCAGCCGGACGAGCAGCTCGCGCGTGTAGTTAGTCAGTCTGCTGTACAACAGACTCGTATCACAAAAGACATGTATTTTTATTTGCATTTTCGACTTATTTTTGATTATTTTATATACATTTTAAGATTTCAAAAGTTGTTCAAAAAGCCAAAGTGGAGCGCGGGGAATCAAAGTGGAATATCGCGAGTTCGGAGGATTTTCGCATCAACTGCTCAGGAAATTATACGTTGCAGAGGACCAAGGTTGCTCTGTGACTTGTCGCGGAGGTCAAGTGCCGGAACCTCATCGCCAACATGGATGTGCGAACGAAACGTCAACAGGGTTCTAAAAGTAATGACTTGGAAGACGTCATTTGGTTTCCTCGGGGTAGCAAAACGACTCGTCCACGTAGGGCTAGACAGGCCATCATTCTCTATTTTGCATATTTGTCATTACATACTATGTTTTTAACTTACGAACTGCATAACATCACAATAAAGCCGATATTTGTCATTTTAATTAATAATTAAACATTGGCTTTTCCTGTGAGAATAAGTAATGATTTATATATAAAATACGTATTTTGTGTCCAATGTAAACAACGTGAAAATGTATTTGACGTGAATAATATGAAAATAATTTTCTTTCACATTCTGAAGTAACATTTTACAATTTTAGGACTTTTTGCTGAGATTTTCCCCTCGTTTTATGTATTTAAAAAGGATTTTCTAGAAATGAAAATCTTACCATATCAGTACAATTAAATTTAAATGATTACGCCAATACGTTGACTAATACAAACTAAGAAACTATGGATTCATGTAGTGTTATGAAATTAAATTCCATTGTAAAGTAAAATTATTTCAGGTGTGCATTTCTGGGATTTGGTCTACGTAGTAGTAAATAAAAGCAAGGCCACAATTAAGGTACACCAAAGCGTATCGAGTGCATAACAAAATAGAATACGTTTTGAACATTATATTTTACCTATTGAACATTATATTTTCTAATTATTTTCCCTTTTAAATTTAATATTACTTGACTGATATTATGGCGGCATTCATGGAGTAAAATGATTAATTCGCTTAAAAATAAATTTAAATGAATTATGAAGATTACATTTTATCTTTTTTTTTTTTTTTTCATAAAAATATTATAATCACATTTAGTAGCAAATCAGTTTCAGGTTCAATTTTCACTATATCCATAGATTTCAATCTACTAACGGTTACACTTTGGTCAATATTCAAAATACCTTCGAGCGATTCATCCCTCGTCGTCCTGATGAAGAAGTGTGAGCTCTTCCAAACTGCAGTCTCTTGTACCTTCGGAGCACAAACATCGAAAGATCCAAAAAACTGTCATTTCTTAGTTTAAAGCAAAGAATATTTCAATAATAAAGTTTTTTACTGGTAAGAATTTTATAATGATAGTTGACAAAACTACGGAGACATAGAGTAAATTACTGGGTTCGTAGGCTTCCGCGGCCGGAGTCAATGCATTCTTGACTATCCGGGATGAGCCGCGTCTCGGTCAATTGTGTTGACGTTTCGGCCATCTTGCTGTGACCTCCTTCAGCAGTATATCTCCGAAGACGGCCACAGCAAGACGGCCGAAACGTCAGTAACATTGACCGAGACGCGCTTCATCCCGGATAGCCAAGAATGCAGAGTAAATTACTGATTATTCGCGAAGTAAACAGCACCAATCGTATGAAAAGCGTTCTCGTGTAAAATGAGATTTTTTGAGATCCGTTCTTTCCTTGGAGGAGACGTGATGAGCCATGTTGCCTGCTTGGGGTCGTGAGGGTGACGCTCTTGTGTGCCTGGCAGCTCTGGACGCGAGCGGACGCTACTCGCGGCGACTGCACACGGGCAACGGCTTCTGGCTGGGCTCGCGCGAACTCTGCCGGCAGCTGGACGAGGCCGCGGCGGCCGGCGGCGCCGGCGACGCCCCGCCGCCGCCCTTCCGCTTCAGCTACCACGTCGCCAAGATGGACATCGACCACGACCTGCTCCCCGAGGTGAGCGCGCCGGTCCATGGGGCTTGCTCAGTCGATATTAGACTATTTTGTTGTCTGCCAGTCGTTTCAAAAAATGTATTTCCATCATCTGGGCTTGCAACCACAAACAATTTCTGCAACTGATTGCTTGCAGCTATCGAAAAAAAGAAGAAAAAAAAACCCAGAAAGATGATGCTGCAGTTTCTTGTTTGTTTGCTTTTCGTGGTCGTAAGCTCTGTTGATAGAAATATATTATCCAAAAAGATGGCAAACTTCAAAATAGTCTAATTTATTTTACACCGACCAAGCCCTATGAACCAGCCTTCAAAACTAGTACGGTAAATTACATTTTTCATGTAACCTACGTTTTGATATGCTCAAATATGTTGCGATGTAATAATTCTGTTTTTCGGCCTTAACAACTGCTATGCGTAAATTTCGTACCAACTGCATGATATTTTGAGTACTTTCTTATGTTTTTTACAATTAATGTAAATAAGCAAACAATTTGTTAAAAAAACACGCACGCACTTTGTGAGTATTTTTTAACAGAAAAACCAAGTACTTTATGCCAAGTATTGATATGTTGAACAATTCTACGCATTCAGAACAGGAAATTCCCAGCCTATTTACATGTAAATGACATATTGTAGCATTATAATGACTATTATTTATTGACACGTTTGGAGACATTATGTTAAACATGAATGTATCTATGTGCAATTGGGCATAAATCATTTCTTACTCATACCATAACGCTCTATTAAAAAACTGCTTCACGTCCCGCAAGTGCCATACTTTCATCAAACAGCCCGTCGTGTCTGATAATGTAATTAATCGTGCGTTAACAGAATTAATTAATATTTGTATTATTATTTCAATAATTGAGTCTTCATCGCCTCAGATTTGCAAAAAGATTTTATGTAAAGGTATAAACTACAATTAGCTAACGATGAAACCTAGTTCTTTACAAATCCGAACATATTGTTAAAATCGTTAATCTAAACTATAATAGTACAGCAGCACATAATGTTTCGTAATATTTTTAACAGATACAAAATAATATAATACCAATTGACTCGCAAAAATAAGGTGGGTTCCGCGAGCGGACTTATTCACTAGTCTAGTGAGTGGATCAGCCGCCGTTAATATTTGAACAATGGCTCCAAAAGTATCGAAATGCAATCTGGATTTCTACAATTATCGGACTTATTCAGGCCACATTATAAAACATTGCTTTCTCCTAGTACAAACATTAAATGAAAAATTGCAGCCGTTTTTGTTCAATTTTGTTCACATTTTTAATTTTTATGATTTACTCAAGATAACGCGAAAACTACTACTATTAATGAAAAGCCGGAAATAAATAAAGAAAAAAAGGAAACGAAAGAAAAAAGAAAAAAATCGTCAGATCTTACCCCGGCCTTTTCAATGGATTTTTCGGATTCCAAATATAAACAAACATTTTGTATGTATACAACATATTAAAGTCTACGAAAACCATTAGGGTTTTCAAGATGAACTTTATGCGGCAGAGAAAGCATCCAGGAAGAATTAAGATTTTTGAAATGCTATCTAGGCTCAAGTCACTGCGTCTGAATCGGTTAAATAGAGAATCCTTCTTATTCTTCATTTTCTCCTCATTTATATGCTTCTCCTCCTTGTCCTTTTTCTGGCTCTTCCTCCTCTTCATTTTCCTTCCAATTCTCCTTCTCATGGTTCTCCTCCTAGTTCTCTTCCTCCTTGGTCTCCTTCGTATTATCAACATACACCTTATTTTCCTTCTCTCTTTGTTTCTCTGCGGTCAAGCAATTATTGCGATCGCTGAAACTCGAAAACGCGTCAATGTTATTGCTGTGGTTGTTGTAGTTATTATTGTTGTTGTCGTTGTATTTGCTATTACTGCATATAGCATAATATCCTCTCTGGTGCACAGGCGCGGAGCGTGGCGCTGGGGCTGTGCATGCCGGCCGCGTGCTCGGCGGGCGACACGCAGGCGGCGCTGGTGGCGCTGGGCGCGGAGCCCGGCCGCAACGTGTCCGTGTCCGGCGTGCGGGTCGTCCGAGGCGCCTACTCCTTCTGGGCGGACCCGCGCTTCCTCCTCATGCTGTAAGGAGCTGCGCGCTTTTTCCTATTATTTGGAACGGACACGGAATATTATTATACTAGTTTAACCCGCCAAAGTGATACCAACCAGCAAAAATATTGGCCCAGGCTTGGATTCCAACTCGCGCATAGTTTCGCGAGCCTCCGACTAGACTATCAGGTGGACAGACGGAGAGACTTCGTCACAGATTGACAGACTGAGAAAAAAGAGCTTTTCGGTTTCAAGGCTCCACAAAACAAGCATTCTAACTTCATTACGTATTCGGAAAATTCGTAGTTTACAACATACAAGAGCAAGAAAGAGTCTTTTTTGACATAAGATACCCACAAACACATTTTCCTGTCGAAAAATTGGCATTTTTTCCTGCAGAATCACATAATTTTCTCTTCTTTTTTGTATCATGCACGAAAAAGTAAGATGATTTCATACAGGAGCAGAGAACTCAACCGACCACAGCTGTTCGTATCATTTTGCACGGCGATAAGCGTTCCTACTCATTTTTTAAAAATTTATTATTTGATTTTGTTGGACACAGATCATTTAGACAGAACTACACATATGTGTAGGTGGCTTAACAGTTGCAACGTAACCAAAACTTACTCTAATACAAAGGTTGAGGAATGCACCTCAAGGTTTCTACTTCTCGGCTATTGGCAGTTTCCGGACATGCCTAGCGAAATGCGCCATTCGAATTCTCAGTATGAACTTGTGAGAGGAACTGCTATTGGTGTACCCTGATTCTTGGGCCCATTTACTTAGTTTTAGTCGTGTAATCATGGCCATTAATTACCTAGCATTATGGGATAACTTTAAAAATATATCGTAGTTCATTTGAAACAAAAAAGGATCGTTTGCGTAAATTTGAAGAGAAGCTTTTGGCAATGCAGAAAGGCCAACAAAGCCCTTTCTTATTAAATTCGACCACAAAATTGACCATAAGATTCAATAGTTACACCAAGCACTTTATCTTTATGCTATTTACCAGTGGTTTTGTAGAAGTATCACATCACTTTTGAAAATTAAAGGCAACTAAAGACGCTAGTAAACATGTTTAGGTTTCTGCTGGATTTTGTTATGTAAGTGGGGGGGCATCATAGATTTTTCTTAAATAATAAACTGATTTGTTATTGCATTATATATTATTTATATACAGTAGATATGACTCTATACAATATTATTGTTCAAACAATAACAGAATTTAACCAAAAATGAATATTTAAATCAATTTTGAGAAATTAAGGAAGGTAAACGAAAACTCTAGACCTTTTAAGGGGGGCAATGGCTCTCATGCCCCCCACCCACCAGATCCACCAGTGTCAGGAACATTGCAGTATGTCACTGCAGTTGAGTTACTGTCAATATTACATTTATAATTTACAAATTCTTTATTAATAGCTCCAAACATATGATTGTAAAGCATGATCAATTGTGGTGGGGTCTTAGTTGTGTCATTGTATTATGGGCCAGTACTCCTTTTGTAGTTTCTCAAGTAATGTTAGAGTAGCATTTCCTATATTCTGATTGAATCATTTCATTAGAGGGTAAAAATAATTCTTAAAATATGTACGGATATAATAATTGAAATAGAATTCAGAAGTCTTCATTCAGTCACAAACGAACTTTGAATTAATGCAACAAATTATGACTTAAATATATGTCAATGACTTATCTATTATTTCTTTTTTTTATATTGTAGAGTATCATCAGGTATAATTACATCTCTAGTCATAATTGCCACATTATATGACTTTTTCCTGCTGAATTGCACCAAAACAAGTTTGCAGAATTCTTCAAATAATTTTTCTGAAGAGAATAACAATATCACTGTTGAAACTCAACATTTTAATGGAAACAATTACAAACCAAACACATTTGATTGTATGGATGACACACATTTTAAAGTTCATCCAAGTTCATTAAAGTATAGCAGAACATTTAACGGTAAGATACCATGATAAAAATAGATGCACTGAAGCTACAATATTTTATAAGTTATTGATATTTATGAAAATAATTAATAAATATATTATTATCATATTAGGAATTTCCAACATTGCAACAAAGAATAACGAGAAAGAAGTACACAAGGCCAGGAAAACATGGAAATGGAGAGATGATGTATCAGGTAAATTAAACAGACATACAAAGAATGTCACTGGCAACTGAAAACCTAATAAATAAATTTAAGTATAACATTATGGAAATACATCTTATTTTGTAAAATTTTTTTTGAACAGATAATATATTTATGCAGATGCTATTGTCATTTTCCCTCCGCACCAACTTGCAAAAATTATGCAGCCTAAAAAGTGGAGATGATACCCTAACCCCTATCCATGGACTTCGAGTAATAACATTGATGTGGATTGTTCTTGTGCATGCATGTCTTATGACATTCCAAAATGCAGGTAAAGAATTGTCTTATCATCTCAAAGCCCCGTTTTTTTATCACTTTCACACTAAAGATATTTTTATATATTTCAGATAATAAACTTCTAAAAATGAAAGCGGAACAAGATTTCTTGTTTCAAACTCTGAGCAGTGGCACATATTCTGTGGATACATTTTTTGTGATCAGGTAAAAATAAATGATTAACCACAAAAATATGTATAGAGAAAAACAAAAACAAAAAACACCTAAAATTAAAAAGAACCCAGTAATGTCATTAAAATAGAATAATTTTTTAAACTATGAAAACAGGCATGGACCCATGGGGAGGGAAATGAGTGAAATTTCCCTTCCTGAAATTTTTTAGTATCTATTAATTTTAACTTGTCACAAAACTTTCAAGAAAAAACATTTTCAGATAACCATTAAAACGAATAAAATAATATTGCAGCATGGGGAGAGTAACCAGCAAAATTTTACAAAATCTATAATATGAAACATTCAACTAAAACATTGTTAATTTCCCATCCCAAAATTTTTCTCTGGATCTCCCCTGATGAAAATAATATCAACATCAAGATTTGACAAACTTGAGATACATTGTTTTCTTTCTATTGAAGTATAGGTTATATTCATATCAAAACATGGAGTCCATGTTCCATTATGTAGTGAACTAGAAACACAGAAACACATACATGAAAAAGCAGAATGAAGAAGAAAATTGCAATGAGAATCAAATGTTGGATTCCTATTAAATCCCAATCTACAGCTTATTTGACATCAACATTCCAGTTTTTCAAAGTATTGTTAAAATAAATAAATTTATTGGTATATTTTCATGTTTTTATCCTCCAATTTTATGTAATAATAACAAATCATTAGATTTTACATGGCAAGGTCTTGATAGAACCACACCCTGCATGTACCATGAAGGTTCATACTATCCTAATACAAAAATACAATTCACAATTTTGAATATTACAAGTCTTGTGTCTCATACAAAACTTTTTTTGGCTAGTCCTAAACATTTTATAAGAATGGAAAAATTACAAGAATGACAGGGGAGTAAATTAATAATTCTGTTTTCTTCCCAAGTGGAACTCTGGTATCATTCTTATATTTCCGAACAATATCAAAAATATCAATGAAAGAGCTAACCTTCACAGATGGATATAAAGCTGGAATAATGCAGTTTCTTGGGATGACAGGTTACCGTTTCATGAGGTAAGTTGGAGGCCAAAATGTCTTTTGTACAATTTAATAGGATCTCTTGAATAATTTAAAATAATGTTTTACTAGGTTAACTCCAACATATCTGTATGTGTTGGGAATTATTACTGTGTGTGCAAAGTATTATCAAGATCATGCAGTAATGGAATTACCAACAAAAGATCATGACAACTGTGAAAAATACTGGTGGAGAAATATGCTTTACATAAATACTTTTTATACTGCAAAAGAAAGGGTAAGATGTGTAAATTATAAATAACTTGTATGGAAATACAATTCATAGTGCCCTTGTATTCATTAAGACTTGTTAACAGAAAAACAAGAACGTTTAAGTGAAATAATTCATCATACTTATGTGACAAAAAAGAAATTACTCTCAATAATTGATAACCAAGTATAATGAAAAGTATTCATCAACATCAAAGACAATTAGTGTAAGGTTTGAGTAATTTGTAAATTTGTGTAAAGTTTGGTAATGATTATCTCAAGGTGATTCTTTATATTTCAACAGCATTAGTTTTATTATGATAATAAAGATACACTGTGAAATAAGAGGCATTAATTATTTACGTATCTTCTGTAGATGACAATACAATTCATTAGCTCGCCTGTAACAATCAGTTATAAACCATAAGTTCTTATTAAGTTGGGGAAGAGATTTAAAAAAGCTTAATTAGGCAAATGTTTTCCATTTTTAAATGGTCTTTAAGAACATGCAAAATATAGTTAATGAACCCTTTTTCCATTTCTCTGAAGTTCTTTTTCTCCCAATATTGTGTGATAACAATTGAGCCTTGCTTAGAATCACTAACCATATGATTACTGCATATATTTGCAAAATGCAGATTTTTAGTAAAATTTGTTAATGTTTTTAAGTTTGTTATTTTGTTTTTATATTGCAGTGTATGTCATGGAGCTGGTATTTAGCTAATGATACACAATTTTATACAATTGGCACAGTATTGTTGATAATATCAATGGCGTAAGTGAAAAGTTTTGTTTTAATTTAATAGATATTTTTCTTAGTCATAGAAACATAAGAAATGTTCCTGTCAGAGATAAAGTACTTTTTCAATCTTAATTCTGAAAAATCTGCATAGTGGAATATTTTTTATAAAATATAACAATTATAGTTACTGTGAATATTTTAAACAATCAATTCTGTCCAGAATTTTACAATTAAATTGAATATTTCAGACATATAACCATGGTAGAGATTTCCAAGTATTTAAATCAATTAATTTTATCACAAATTTTACTGATTACTGACCATTATGAAATAAATGTTAATTCACTTCTTAGGAAGATAATTTATACAAGATTTGTTTAAAAAATTTATACAAAGTTTATTCAAGACCCACTTGTCATACCCGGGGCCAGCATTTATCTGCAGGCAACCAGTGTGGCTAATTGCTTGTTGAGTCAGCCTAAAGGACAAGGGTGGGGGAGGAAAAATGCAGCCTGCTTTGCTGATGGAGAGGAAAGGAGGCATAAAGGAGTCTAATTTAATAAAAGAGTTAATAATAATAATAATAATAATAATAATAATAATAATAATAATAATAATAATAATAATAATATTAGTATTAGTATTATTATTGACCTCTTTTCAATCACTTGATCATCAGTAACAAAACCATCCTCTACTTTGTATTTCAAGAGGAAGTGTTTCTTATTGTAGAATGAAGATGCAAACATGTGAGTAGATCGAATTTGCAGAATAGATCTTTCAAATAAGAAACAAGAAATTTGATTTTCATTACTAAAAAAAGTTAAACTTTCCACCACTTAAAAAAATAACAAAATGGGCAGTTCATTGAATTAAAAGAAAATATAAACAAATCATTCTCACCTTCATTGTCTAAAACAGTCAGGCAGGAAAGTCACCTGAGCTGAGAGCTGAGTTAAAAATCAATCTAAAGCAGCAAAATAGGGGACAGAATTCAATGAGAACAATTTTAATGGCAGAGAGTGCATGAAATGTAAAAAAGATCCTTGTATAAATTATCTCGAGCTGTAGAATATTTTCTCTAGAAATCATTAACACAAGATACTCCAGTAGAAAGCTACAAAATGTAAGAAGCAAAATAAGGTTTGTTTCAAAAATTAAAATAGTGGTAAATTTGGTGTTTTTCTCCAAAGAACCAAAGAGAACCATTTCACAAATAAAGCAGATTTGTTAACTTGTCAATTTAACTTGAAAAATAGATATTGAGGGAAAAGACTGATAAGGGGGGGAAGGGGAATTCATACATACATACATTTGTTTCAAAACTGTAGTTATTTTCAAACTAGTAATACACAAATCCATTCAAACTTTAGATGAATATCGATATATGTTCTTATCGTTCTGTATCACACATCATGTTGATAATATTTTTCAAGACAGTTAGCCATTATTAATCATTTGAAGACATTTCTAAAATTATACTTTTTCAGTTATTTTCAGGTAGCAGTAGCTCTGGTAGGCTTAATATTGCTAAGTGCCTGGACGACTTCAGCAATTTTGACCATTAACACCCAACACCGACCAAGGTAATAATTAATTTATAAAGGGGTCTCTTAATTTAATTTGTCAGGGGAGAGGAAATGAATTGAGTGATCTACTAGAAATCATGTCCAAAGGCCAAGGAAAATTCAACCTGAGATAGGCATTGTATATTTTAGACCTTGGACGACACATGTTTGTGTTACACTATTCTTCTGTAATTTTTATTCTGGGAGAAAGTGACTGAACAAGGCACCTATTGGTCCATAACATGATTAATAATGCCAATAAATCTTTGTTCATCCACAATAGCATATGAAATCTAAGACCATTATGAGACTGCTGTTATACTGCCGAAAGAACAAAAAGGCAATCGCAGATATCCAGAAACAACAAAGAAACACTGACAATTCACAAGATGATTCTTAAAAATACAAGATAACAGCAGACAATGAAAGTTTGCATGCAGCTTGGATCAACTGCATGAAGTCTCACCACTTGTTAAGAGTTTCTACCACACATTTGGATAGTAAAGAGCTTAGAAGTTTTAGGAATTCATTAAAAAATCATGTACATCTAAGCATGTATACAACTCTTGAACACACCTTTCAGATGAGGGTGATGCTTTTAGATATTCAAAGATTTGCTCTCTCCATTGTTCTTTAATGCAGTTCTCATGCAGCCCTGTGCAAGACTCAACTCAGATATGAAACGAGGATCAGGGAAACTGAACAAAAACCTGATCGAGATGGGGGTCATTGACCCAGAAGCAGGGTCTTCAGAATTATACAATCCAAATGGTAAATAATACACTAAATGTTGTTTTTAAAATTAATATTACTTTCCTTTGGATGCTCAGTATAGTCTCTAATTATATAGAAACGGTTGTACAGCAGAAAAGATTTTACTTGAGACCTTAATTTTTGTATCGAATTTAATCGTTTAATGACATCTGGAAGGTGTTGTAAAATAATGTTCATGTATTGTGTGTAAATTTTATGTAATGAGCTGTTGATACTGTCACCTGATGAATATGATTACTAAGTCGAGTGTTGTAGTTATAGATATCAGCGTTTGCTGAATATGTATTCCCGCCCGTAAGTTAGTCATTTTTAACAAAAACCACTGATTAATATATCAAGAGGCAAGGTAACGATAAAATACCTATATTAATAAAGAGAAGCTTAAAAGAATCACGTGGGTGGGATTTGCTTATAATTCACACAATTGTTTTTTATAATCTAAAAGTCTGGGAGCTATAAGATGTATTTCCCAAGAATATTGTACCATATCTCAGGCGGGAATGAACATTTGCAAAATATAAACAATGAGCCGTATGAAGGATGAATTTAAAAGAATTCTGAAAGCATAGCATTTAGTGTTCAATTCATTTAAATGGACATTCCATTTAAGGTTTGACTGAATTGAAAGACTTAAAAATTTTGTTACCTTCACATCAGTCAATGGCACACACATTGATTTTCAATGGAGTACAGAGCTGTTTATTTGAAATGGAAAACTGCATTGAAACCGTTTTCTTTTCATTTACTATTGATTTGTTATTACGGAACCAATTTGAAGTATGTGATATTGTACTATTTACGGTTTCTTTATTGCAAAAAATATTCATATCATCTGCGAAGAGAACTGTTCTTCTATATCTAATCTTCGAGGGCATATCGTTTACATTCAGTAAGAAGAGAATAGGGCCTAAAATCAATCCCTGCGGGACTCCACATGCAATTGGCAAAGAATCGGAAAGATGTTTATTCAAGGGAGATTAGGCTCATTGAAAAATGCAGAAAGTGTTTTCAAACTGGAAAACCCCAGCTTCGTTTGTTCCTCAGCTCTATAATGTGGAGAGAAGAAACAACAGGAATGCCAAATAAGTTGCTACGGCAAGTCGTTCCATGGACAGTATGCACAGGACATCAAAAGGAGGGTGGAGAGCTAGCTCTCTTACTAAGGGATGAGTTGCAAAATGCCGACTCTTCAGAAAGAGATCAAAAGCCTGGTCTTAACAGCCCAATAGTAGGTTTTAACGGCCCACAAAAAACAACCAATTAAGCTTGAGAGCAAGCGAGTATTAGTACTTCACAGGACAGCAAGGGCAGACAGTGTAAACAACTTGAAGAAACCATCACGTAGTTTTTCATATTTTAATTTTTACACTCTAAAACTTGTGTGAGCCTGGTGGCTTAGCTCATTGGTCAGAGTGCTCGCTTTCTATGACCCCAGGTTTAATTCCCAATCAGGCAAGATATGTGTTTTCCTTGCAATGTCCCAGTATATGTGGCTGTGTGACCATGAGAAAATTCACTTCTCAGGTTAAGACCAGAATATGACATTGAGATGTCTTTGTGCCAACCACACATAACCCCTTAACCCATTGCTGTGAAGTCACTGGTAGGTCATGGCCCATACACAGGCTGACACACCAAGTACAAACAAACAAGTACTTGTGTGAGGATCTGGATATACCAAGGTTTATGTTTACTGTGTTGTTACTTCTCAGAAAATCAGTATGCAATCTCTATAGAGAGAAGTGATTGTATTGAATAGAAGGTATTCTCTCTCCACTTTTCTCTTGTTTCCAACATATTTCCAATCAAGGCTGGAGAATGAAACTTCCTAGTTCAAGTAAAATCTCTACAACTCGTTACTCCTAAAGTAGAGTGTTAATAATTCCAAATGAGAGTACAATTTTAATGATTTGACAGTTTTGACACTTTTCTTGCATTTTGTACTCTGCTCTCTCATTCTAACACATAACAAAACACTTTATTGTAGCTTGACTATTTACATACCAGCCATTTATGTTTCTCATATTTGACTCTGCCAGAAAGTAATTTTAAGATTGATACATTTCATGAAGACAAACTCAATGAGCTACTGCTTATATAATTACTATTATGCAAGATTACATCTCAGATTAAAAGTTATCACTCAAACTGTAATCTGCAACTAATGCAGTCACTATCATAATGTAATAGAAGGTTCTCTTTCTAGGAGAAATACAGAAGTAATTCCTCTTCACAAGATCTCTATCAAGCAAATTCAATTCTGGAGCCAAGTGGGGTCTTTTTTTCTTCTTTTTTTGTGTGTTCTTTCCTCTCAATCTCTCCCCATTTAATTTTTGTTCTTTCATTCTATCTTTTTCTCTCCTCTCCCTCAAGTTTCTTACAAAATCATTACATTTCTCATTTTGTCACTCGCTCATATTACTAAGTACTTTTTTTTAATTCCATCAAAATGCAGAGAATTTGTTTCGTAATCTGATTCACTGTTTTGCGGGTCTTTTCCCCACAAAAAGCACAGGAAGTAAAGGTCCTTGTAGAATACGTCTTTTTATTGACAATAAATTTAGATAAGTAATTTGATGTTATAGTCTATTACATTACGTATCGATTATCTATGGTAAAATAAATATTAAAGAGACTTCTTTCAGAGAAGGAGGCTAATATTTATAATAGAACCCATATTTTTTTGAACTGTAATAAATGTTTCACTAAATCAATATTTGAATACCAAACAGTTCAAATTATGAAGAAAAACCATGTTTTCCTACATTTTTGTTTGTCTTCCTTAATAAAATATATCAATATTAATTTTCAATGAGACAATAATTTTACTCCCAAGAAAAGAGCGCTTTCATAAACGAACTACATTAGAGTTGTTGAGACAGTGAGAACTAAGAAATAAGTTCAATCATCTTATTTACAGGCCAGAAATACTAATAATTTCATTGTATTTTATACTTCTATAATAAGAACAAATTATTCTATTTGTGTACTTATTTTTATAATTACTCTCTTATATATTTATTTACTTCTTTTTTTATTTAAAATTTATTAATTAATATATTGTTTCATTACTTCACTACTTTTTTATATGATTACAGGTAAATTTAATTACATACCATAGCTCTAAAAGAACAAAATTGCCTGGAAATGGCAAGTTAGTGTGGGAACAAGACTGAATTCTCCTGTAATTAAGGATTATATAATATGAATCTCTAGTGAAATTTTACAAATGAATCAATATGCAAATTTGCTGCCAAAACCTCAAATTATTTTCTGTAAAATTTTCAGTATTGAAGATCCTTTTGCCAATTATGAAGATCTATATGACAAACCATGGATCCGAGTAGGTCCTTATTTTATAGGCATGTGTGCTGGTTGGATATTATGCAAAACAAATTGTGAAATCAAACTACACAAGGTAAAAATTAAAGACAAATTTCTCATTTTCTCTCATAATTTGTAGAAATAAGAAGCACATTAACTGCCAACAATCATAAAATCAAATGATTCAATGCATCCACCTTTACAGGGATGGTTAATCCTATGTTGGATCCTAGCATTTTCCATAATGTGTAGTGTTGTATATGGACTATATGGGGTTGAGTTCGGACCAGTTCTATCAGCAATGTATGTAGCACTTGGTCATTCAGCATGGGCCCTGGCAATTGCTTGGATTTTAATTGCATGCAGTACTGGCAATGGAGGTAAATCTACCTTTTTTTCTCACAAATAATTAAGAATTTATAAATTATCAATGATACAATTAACTTGGATATCTTTCCTTTTAGGAATTGTGGATAAAATTCTTTCATGGCCATATTTGTATCCCATAAGCAGACTTACATATTGCACATATCTCATACATCCTCAAGTAATAAGAATAGTCCTCCTCAACTATGATAGTTCATTTCATATTACTATAGACATGATGGTAAGAATTACCTAATATGTTTAATAATTAGTAATTGAAGAGGTGATAAGAGGTAATTTTTTTTTTTGGTCATTTTACAGGGAACAGTGTACGTAGGATTTCTCATAGCATCCTACATAGCAGCATTATTCATCTCGCTCACTTTTGAAGCTCCAATGGTATCGCTATTAAGAATTGCTCATCCAATGCGCCGTAAAAAGACAAGCTGACATAATTCTGTAACCAATACTTTACTTCTTTGGCAATGATATGTTTCACTTCCTCAACACTTGATAAATTGTTTAGCTTGATATCGATCAACACTAGAAGATTAATATGTTTAGTTATCATCCACTTCCAATGATGCGTTTTATAGACTTATTTTATCCACGAATATCAATATGAAATAATCATGTTTAAAAATGTACAAGAAATATATTATATATTAAGTCCAATGGCAACACAACAAAGAACTATACAGATGTTTTTGGAGCAGTACTGACCTTTCTTTCAAAATACGGCATTTAAAAAGGACAAGTAATATAGTACGGAAAATGTAACAATTATGGAAATGCAAAGAGAACCACATTTTTGGTTTCAATGGCAATCTGTAAATAAAGCTGTTTTCTTGCTAGTCTACTATGTAAATGTAAGTCAATTCAATTTAAATATTGTTAAAATAATTGTAATAAGTAAATATCAATCATTAAAAAAAATTTACATTATTTTTTTCTTCTTTACTGAAACCTGCAATAGTGTCCTGTTAACCCTATCAACTTTGAAGTAAAAACAGACAAATTGCAAAACTTTCTCAGAAAGCAATAACTGTTTTAATATCAATCATTATTACAAGAAAAATCACAAATTACATAATACAAAGATCATATGACACTAAATCAGCCTACAATAAGTAACAAATATTTACACAAACTCACAAAAACTCACATGAACATACAAAGGGCTTACGCTCAAGGTAGTCAAGTTTCTCTTTGAGGAGGTCCTGAGAGACAAATAAACACTCAATCCCCATAGAAAGCGCACAGGATTCCATTTTCTCTTCTCAGGATCACAAAAATTCATCCAAAAGTTTTTCCATGATTAACGGTCTTCTATCAATATAAAGTGAAAACGTCTAGTAAATATCCCCTTAGTTAATCCACATTTTATCTTCCAAAATATATTAAAAACCAAACACCACATGAAGTATACCACCACTTCAATACTGCAGTTTCAGTCCTGAATTTGCTTGATCAATTCATTGGATTACAGAACACTGTACAATATAAATTCCTTAGTTTTAAAACACTTTAGACAAAATCAAACAAGAGATTAATTTAAAAAATTTACTTAAATAAAATACTACAACATCCAAAATCAACTTATTGCACAAACCAATAAATTCAAGTACTAAGGGAAATATCACTAAATGAATCATCCTTAAAAATGAACATTAGGCTCTAAGACACAATTTCATGGGGTTTCTAGGTGCTCTTCGGCCTTCACTGCGTCAATATTACAGAATAGCAAAGCACCTATGTTTTGGTGTAATTTTCTTAACTGTAGGAAGTTTCTAAGTCTCTCTCCCACACAATACTATCAAAACATGAAATACATATTGTCATCTTGACACTGGAAAATATTTTTAAAATGCAATTTGTTTTTTGACAAAACCTATTCTAAATTTGGAAGTTGGAATGTAATTATTGCCCTGTTTGCTTACTGCCCCCCACCCATTTGTCTTCATAAAAAATGTTCATTGACTAGACAGAGTATGAGTAAGTTCTTCAGAAAACTCTGTGAAATTAACTGCACTTGGGTTGCACAATGTTGTAAGTGACATTCGCTGTATTTTCAAAAGGAGACACGAACTTCATGGAAGACGCACACAAAGCAAGTTGGCAATTTTGTCAACTTGTAGATTTAGAAGTATAAAATATTAAGTATTACATATAAAACCTGTTTAGATAGTATCACTCCTCAGAAGTACAAACTGCTGATATGTTCCCTAACAATGTACTCTTGCGACTCATGAGCCCTTGGTGAATACAATGCAAAAAAATACAGTAAAAATATCCTCCTAAACCTGGATCAAAACTAACACATCTCAAAAATACAAAGAAAAATATTTACATAATTAAATATAAATATATTACAGTCATCATCCATTTCTAACTGAATATTCTAATTAAAATGAGAGAAGTAAATTAAATACAATATAGGTAATAGCCTTTGGGTCTCTCACAATCCAGTCATAAATTATTCTCAAATACCAAACATTCAAACAAGTCATGGAAATTGCTAGGCAACATCAAATATCATTAATATACAAACTCTGGAACATGCCCAAATGCACACACATACACAGTTTCTACCATTAAAATGACTAATATTTCTATTATTGGAGTTTCTAGAAACTTTACCAATGAATAATTCACAAAATACCAATACATAAGAACTGAAAATTAACCAGAATTTGTTCTATTACAGCACAAAGTTACACAATTGCTGTTGGAATATTTTTTTTAATCAAACTGTAGAGTACCTGCTCAAATTACCCTAATAATGAAAATGATTCTTGTTCCCCTTCTTAAAATTACTATAAATGTTCATCAAAAGTTTGTTTTCCTTCATATTATATAAAAAATCCATTTTCAGAAATGGAAATATATCTTACTAAAAATATAAATACAAAAACTTACAGAGTAAAAGAATGATACAGGGAAATATCTGTAAAACACGAATTTCAAGTCTGGAATCCCAAAATGACATGCGGAATGACGTATGGAATGATTCTTAACAAACACATTGAAACTATTGTGAGGTGTTCTGAACATTAAGTACATTTCAGAATCAAAGTAAAGCTAACATCAAAAAATTATCACAAAATGAACACCTCACTTTACAACAACTTCCTTCACATAACATTCAAGGAATTTTTTAAACCCTGTTTTAAACTTATGAAGGTATTATAGCCACACAAATTCAATAAAGGAATTTATAAAGCATTACACCAGATACAAGCTGTGAATGAAACATCTCTTCCCACAAATAGCATACACAAGAGAAAGTGAAAAACATACAAGCACATAAACATGTCATTTCCATGTTCGCTATGGTTAAATCTGATATATCTGTAATTTAATGTGCTTGGCTTATTAGGCATTTTAAGTACTTGCATTTTGAACATTCACCCTATTGCACAAACTTGGCATAACATGAGTTAGCAGTCAGTCAACTGGCTGCATATAGAATTAACAATTTACTCCTCTTTTGTTCATGTAATACAAGATATTCTATCCCGCATGTGGACATTATTGATCCTCACAATTCTCTCTCGTATATGAAGAAACATTTCCATTTATTATTTGTTTATTTGCTTATTTGATAGAGGTATCTTAAATTAAATATCTACTCTAAGTACAACTGACTGGCAACAAAGCTTAACATTCAATAACCAACAAGCTTGCTTAGGGTGCACATTTCAGTTGCAGTTTAATGCTTCATACAACTTGAACGTTTAAAAGCAATATTTAGGATTACTGTAAATGAAATGAATGTGACAAGGTATTGCACATTTTGAATTATACCTTTTCAATAATGTACTTTTCCATTATAATAAAAAAATATAATAATGCAACTACTGTCCATTCATTGACATGTATCAGACTTGTTATTGATCCACGACAATATACTATGGCAAGTATTCAGAGAAGTCTGACTGTATTTTTTATACATTTTCCCATGTTTATAACTGTGAAAAAGTACGAGAACCAGTATTGATCCATCAACATTTTTCTCTTTTGTCACAAAAGTTCATCCACATGATGCAAATCATTTAAACGCGACCAAAAAATGCAACCAATAAAAATCAGCACAATAAATGTCAAAGCTATTACTGAAATTCTTACGATATCCTGAATATTAAATATTTTCAAATTCCTGAATGCAACTGGAATATTTAGGTAAAGAAATTATCAGTATTATCTCACCAAAAACTTACGGAAATGTTAAGCAATAAGGTTCTTGTAGATACACACACTCACACATTCATACACACATTCACACATTTACAAAATATTGAAACAGACAAGCTCATTCAAATTTCCAATCACATCCATTGGTAAGCAATATGAAGGAAGCAGCTTCAGAAGAGCAAATCAGCTGTTGTTTCTGCACTCCAAGCTACTGTCTCACTCTCCTCTGCAGGCTTCAAGTACTCTTCTTGCTCCAAGTCAGCTGAATTCACACTGCTTGAATCTGAGGCTTTGGAAATGGGGTCTACTGCAGCACCTGCAGGATTGGCTCGGGTAACGCCTAACTGGAAGTCTTCACTACCAAGGTGAACCTTGCTAGGAGTGTAGCTGGCAAGGGAACTGCCACCTGTGGAAGTGGAGTTTACTTAGGACAATTTTACATAACATGGAGCTACTGAAACATGGGTATATTTTCAGGTTACTTAAACTCTATAATGAAGCAGAAAGGTCTATATTTTATTTACAACAGTTCATACAATAATAGCACTACAAATATTATTAAGTGAATTTTAAAATTCAAGCAACAAATGGTTCCAGGTCATAGCAGAATAAATTACAGGAACAATATTGCATTCTATTTTAAAATTAGGAAAAATTACACAATAAGCAATTAGGCAAGTACAAACAATCGGAAAAGCATACAAGTCAGAGCACTCATTTCAGAAAGAAAACAATGCATTAATCATACACAAGACAGTATTTTTACTTCAAACATACAGAAAAGCGTAAGTCAATTCAAGCAATATCAAAGAAATTGAGGCAATTAAGTTTAAGTCCATTTCAGCGTTTCAAACAAGATATTGATTCACAGCTTATTCAGTAAGGTTATCAAGAAATAAAATTTTAAGTAAAGGTAGTAACAAATTTAACAAGATTTGATGAGGTTGTATTTCAGAGTTGTTTGCTGGCTTCCAAACTTTAATGCTTCAATTTCATTACAAGCAGAGATGCAACAAATACTTTAAAAGGCAATTAAGAATATAATTTTAAAACATCATATTTAATTGAAAATGAAATACGTAATATCATGCAAAAGCAAAGATACAATAATGTAGGTAATTAAATAGCTATTAAAATTATTTCGCAATTAACAATGTAAATATTCTACACATGCTTCTAGAAGAGTTTGTGTTATAGGTAACCATTTCCTCTTCTTTCTTTGGTGTGCTAATGACAAGTATTAATTACAATGTCCTCCAAGAAAAATATATACAGTTTAATGAGTATTATGTAAAAATTATTATTCTTGAAATAATAAGAAAATCAAGCATATAAAAATCAGTAAGAAACTATGGCATGCACATTTTTACACCTGCAGTTATATTTACAGAAGTTGAAGCTACAGAAAAGTAAAATACCCAATATGTTCTTATTTTTGATTCTTTATACACTTCTTGCTTAAAGTATACATTTTTCATAGATAATTCAGATTTCTATGAAACAATTAATTATACTTTCTCCCTCACAAGAAATATTGCATTCACCATAAGCAAACAAGACAGATTGTAGTTAATTTTAAGTTTCTAACTTGTCAAGCACAAGTCTGGAATAAAGGAACATGCACGAGAGTTCTAGTTTTCCCATATTCAGAATACAGAGAAAGCATAAAGCTCTGAAGATTGTATTTACACAGATCATACAAAGAATATCCTGCGAACTGATGTTCCCTTACCTAGAGGCACAGGTACTCCAGGTGTAGGACCTGACGGAGGAGCTAAAGGTAAACCACTGGGACTGCTTGCTTTACCATCCATACTCTGAAAATGCTCTTCCTCAGCATCCATTAACGATGATTCTGAGGGGTATTCAAATGTGGTGGTGGCTGAATCATCAAAAGAGATGCGTAACTGTAACAAAGAACAGAGCATTCCAATAAAATCATTGAAATCATTCATTCAAATGTCTCCAATACATGAACTTGGAATTAAGGAAATGGAAATACTGACCAAGATTTACAAAAATTGTTTTGTTTTGTGAACTTTTAATTTAAAATCATAATATTAATAAAAATAATCTAATTACGTTACATAAACACAAATATAATTATTAATAAATTTTGAGCAGATTATAATTGTTTTAATAGCACCAGAAATTTTCAGACTCATTTTGTGATGCTGAAAATATTCCCAAGAAAGCATTTTAATATAAATATGCTAATAATAATTTTTTTTGACAGTCACTACTAAAAGCAGTTCTTTCAAGGCATGTCTAGCTTGCTAAAAGTTCAAGTTTTAGCACTAGTGCTAGAAGTGAGACGATGCTCAAGAGATTTGATAAATCTGTAAATGACAAGAAAAGAAAAACAAAAACTATCATCTGACCAGAAGGATCAAAAGGCCCAAAGCACTAAAATCACAAAAAAATGATAAAAAGAACCAAAAGTACAGAAAGAAAAAAAATGGACAGAAAATAAACAAAAAGTCAGCAAGACTTTCTAAAAAATAGTGTATGACACACATGGTAAAAATTATTTTATTTTGCTAGGAATGTGCCCCTCGGCCAACCGGCTACTTTTACCACTTTTATCTTAAATAAATTAAATATATTGCAATAATAAATTGGTTTTTGGTAGCATTTCATTTCACACATAGTATGTTGCTTGACGTTATTAGATAACTACATACTTTTAAGGGATTGTTTGTATTGCGTCACAAGTAGAGAATATATTAATGACAAATTGAATAAGATAATTTCTGTAATGAAATGGTAATCACCTTCAGGTGTGGCACAAGTGAAATTAATAATCATCTCCCAAATGTAACTAAGACAAATTAAAAAGCACCAGTGAGTACAAGAGCACATAATTTCACACATTATTTGTAACTTTTGCAAATTTTGAAATTTTACAGAGGTCAACAAATATGAGACCTGCACCATTTTTTCAGCCTTCATTGCTCTTTCCAAGACACTCCCACCCCCTGCAAAAAACAAACAAACGTGGATTCTGACTTCTCAATGTGTGTACTACAAAGAGGAAGAAGTATCATTTTTTTTTTTAAAGGCACCAACTAAACATACCAACTTTTTTTGCTGCACTACAACTATAATTCCTCAATACTGCACAAGTAGTAAGTGAGAAAGTAACTAGTGGTGGCACAACAGCACTTACTTTCTTGCATAATTTCTAACTTCCGCAATTTTCGAAAATTCAGGGTTCAACAAAAAAAGAGACTACCACAGTTTTTTAAAAGAGATCTTGGTTTATCCAAGAACGAAAAAAGTTAACAACCTGTGCTTCAGACTTTTTAAAATAAATTGCAGTAAACGAAAACTACTAAATTTCCCACCCAAAAATTGTGCATGATCTTTTTTAGAACAATTTCATTTAAGACCAGAATAAATATCTTTAAGTTTGTAATTTTTCAGTGTTAATTTTTTGGAATTTTCAAAAATGCAGAAAGCTTGCAATGGAAAAATGAGACAATCATTTTACCGCCCTTTGATACATATGAGGAGAAAATCTGAAGAAAAACTTAGAGGTTTTTTTTTGTTGTTGAGAAAATATCGCCGATTTCCCACTAACGATTGCTATTAGGGATGGCAAACAAACATCAATGTTTTTAAAACATAGATTTTTTCGAGCAAAAACATCGATATTATAACATTTGTTTTGCTTTCGATGTTTTCTTCGGATCGCTACAATTATCCAGAAACATTGCCGTCTTTAAAAAAAAAAAATGTTCATGATATAAATAAAATTTCCAGTGTCCATTTTATTTGTGGATTGCTTGCAATCAACAGCAATCGACAACTGTCACTGTTGTCGAACCCCATGCGGCACACAACAGTTTGCAATTCACAACCTTTCTCCAGTGTTGGTACATTTTTTTATTATTTTGTACATGGTAACATCATTTAACTGCAATTTGCACCTTGACTACATTGAACATTGATTAGAAAATTAAGATGGCATTCAAATTTATGGCAGAATGATTATCGTTTAAAATAATATCGATGATTCGTGGCACATTGGATCTAGGACATTATCCTCAGGAATGTTTGTTTCCATATTTAAAACATCGATGATTTAATCGACATCGAACACCTTCTAATGTATCGAACTATCGACGTTTTACTAAAATCTGCATCACTAATTACAATGTTTTCGCTATACGTACGTAGTAAGACGAGAAACTAAAAAGCAATATGCAAGATAAGGGCCCGCCTGGGGCTGAATACACTGTGATGGAGGAGGCGGTTGATCGGGAAAGGAGATCGAAAGTCGGGAATTCGTTTAGCGCTTCAAAGGACGCACACCCGTCAGAAGAAAATAAAGGGCCCGCTAAGTGGTATTGCAGGGGGAAAGACCAATGTTTTGTCTGGCGCAAGCGTACAAATTCTAATTCAACGCACATCTTCCAGCTACGTTAACGCATGCGCTCACATGCAGTCATCGCACGCATTCATCGCGGGTAGCCGGCAGCTCCCTCTTCGCCGCCGGCCCAGACTCGCCACGCCGCCCTCGGCCGACCGTTGCCAAGGTCACTGCACCTCGTTAGTAGCTATGTCGCACCGCCGCCGGCCGCCAAGCAAGCATGGTCAGGCAATGGTTGTCCGGCAGGCGGCCAATCTCAGCCTGACTGCCAAGCCCCCCCCCTCCCGAACGCGGTCGACGGGAGCCGGCGTCGAGAGCGCCCCGCCGAGCGCGCCCGCCAAGAAAGTGAATTCAGCGGCTCGGCTTAGAGGAGAAAGCAGTGCACGGCGGCGAGATTCCGCTCGGCCGCACACACGCTCGCACGCACGCGAGCGCAACTGCCAAATTAGCGCCACGGGCAGAAATGCAGATTGGCGGAAATCTGCTTCGTGCGAGCGTGGTCCCCCGCGCGAAAAATCGCCGCATACGGCGCAGTCTTCGCTTCGCTTTGCGCGAACGTGCGGTGGCGGGAACTCTGTTCGGAGCGGTGTTTTCCCCGAAACAGACGGAGCGCATCCGTCAACTGCAGGGCCTGGTTGGGGTTCATCGGACGGGCGCCATTGGGGGCGACTGGGCCGTGCCCCAGTTCTCGAAGACGGTTAACAATATTGTGACCCGCTGGGCAGGTCAAACGGCATTTTCCCTTCTCCCCTTCAAACGCCGCATAACGGGCTGCCTTCCCCGCAGGAGCGATGACGCCACTGGAGATTCCAACGCGCGAACAGGAGACGTAACTGAATTCAAATTCACAGTTCAATGTACAGGGAACAAGGATAAGAAAGTAATGAATCTGCATCCGAAAAATTCTGATCAAATCGAAACATGGGTCTTGATATGCAAGTCGATAGGAAAAGAAACTCCAATTGTGTATACAAGAAGAAATGTTTTAGTACGAACTATATTGAATACGGATCAATTTCGATTAATTATTTGTCGGTACTTCATGATTTTGCAAAATTAATTTTTGACACAAAATTACAGTAGTTTGATGAATAAAAACTACACAATACTGCGGCTAAGATCAATTCAACTGTTTTCTTACAAAAAAGAAAATGATAAACAAGTATATTGATTAACAATTTTCATGGGAGCGGTCAATTGCACTTCAACTCTTTTTTCGTAACACTTCTGAAGTTGGTGTAAAATTTTAATTCCTATTTTCAATATCTATTTCAAATACAAGTTTAGTCCGACAGAAGCACAGGTAATTGGTTATCGAGAAAGTCGGCAGCAAGGAAGAGGCGAGTAGTGGCACGTTAGTTTCTCGAGGGAGACGCGTAGCTGTAATAGAGTGCAAGTAGAGAGGCGCGGTGTCTACAGCCCCGGTGACCGCTGGGGCGAGGCGAGGCGAGGCGAGGCGAGTGCGGCGCGAACGCGCTCTTTCGCCCCGTCGTGGGAGCGCAGGGAAAGGTGAAGAGGAGGAACCGCCGATGGGCGCACTTTACGCAAGGTGGACGAGGTACTAAAGCGGCCTGCGGGCGAAATGAAAGAAACCACATTTTTGGTTTCAATGGCAATCTGTAAATAGAAGCTGTTTTCTTGCTAGTCTTACTATGAAATGTACGTCAATTCAATTTTAAAATATTGCTTAAAATAATTGTAATAAGTAAATATCAATCATTAAAAAAATTACTTTATTTTTTTTTCTTCTTTACTGAAACCTGCAATAGTGTCCTGTTAACCCTATCACTTTGAAGTAAAAACAGACCAAATTGCAAAACTTTCTCAGAAAGCCAATAAAACTGTTTTAATATCAATCATATTACAAGAAAAATCACCAAATTACATTAATACAAAGATCATATGACACTAAATCAGCCTACAAAAGTACAAATATTACACAACCACACAAAAACTCACATGAACATACAAAGGCTTACGCTCAAGTAGTCAAGTTTCTCTTTTGAGGAGCGTTCCTGAGAGACAAATAAACACTCAATCCCCATAGAAGCGCACAGGATTCCATTTTTCCTTCTCAGGATCACAAAGAATTCATCCAAAAGTTTTCCATGCATTAACGGTTTTCTTATCAATATAAAAGTGAAAACGTCTAGTAAATATCACACCATTTTATCTTCCAAAATATATAAAAACCAAACACCACATGAAGTATACCACCACTCAATACTGCATTTCCAGTTCGAATTTGCTTATCAATTCATTGGATTACAGAAACATGTACAATATAACTTCCTTAGTTTTAAACACTTTAGACAAAAATCAAACAAGATATTAATTTAAAAAATACTTAAAAAAATACTACAACATCCAAAATCAACTTATTGCCACAAACCAATAAATTCAAGTACTAAGGGAAATATCACTAAATGAATCATCCTTAAAAATGCCATTAGCTCTAAGACACAATTTCATGGTTTCTAGGGGCCTCGCCTCACTGCTCAATATTACAGAATAGCAAAGCACCTATGTTTG